AGTCTATTTCTCCGTCCCAGTTCCAGCCACTGGAGGACGTGATAACCACGAAGCTTATACCAGCAATGACGGGTCGGCCACCGCCTGGCACAGTGTTGAGGGAAGTACTAGCAATGCCCTGTCGTTTGGGTGGCCTGGGCCTGGTCAGCCCGATGACTTTGTGCGCCCAGTATGAGTCGTCTGTCGCCATCACAGCATCTCTCTCCCTGCGTATCGTGGATCGTGTTTCTGATATTGGGAATTCTCTGATTGGCATCCAGCGGGAGAAGGCGAAGAGGAAGAAGGAAGTGCGTCATAGCCAGGCGGAGTCGGCACGGCGTATCAGCAATGACGCGTCGGACGCCTTGCGACACACCATTGTCCTCGCCCGTGAACCTGGCGCCTCGAGTTGGCTGACTTGCCGTCCATTGAAAAAGTATGGCTTTTCACTGAGCAAAGCTGAGTTCATGGACGGCTTGTGCCTCCGTTATGGTTGGATGCCGCCGAGGTTACCAACTCATTGCTCTTGTGGACGGGACAATGGTATTGACCATGCCTTGTCATGTCCCCTTGGTGGGTTTACCATTATCCGCCATAATGAGATCCGGGATGTGACAGCCTCCCTCCTTCAAGAGACCTGTCACAATGTCTCCATCGAGCCACTGCTGCAGCCACTCACTGGAGAGAGAATGAGATACAGGTCTGCTATTGTGGAGGAGCATGCGCGGCTTGATGTAGCGGTCAGTGGTTTGTGGGGCAGTCGTTTTGAGCGTACTTTACTTGATATACAGTCAACTTCGCCAATAACGACATTCGGCGGGGCATCAGAATAGTGTCCTTATTCGCGAAGTGTCCTTATAACCGAAGTCCCATTTGAATGTATGTGAACCCATATTTTGTATAGTATGATATGCATATCAAAATCAAGCTCTTTTCTTGCTCTATGTCAATGTGTACTTTATTTTCATATTGCAGTTGAAAGGAACTAAAAATTCAATATGCAAGGAAATCAATTGAAAAATATGCCTTTTTGAGCCATCTACAGGGCCAGAGACATGTACATTGTACATGTATGATGATTACTGTGCAATCATGTACAGCTACATGTACATGTACATTGCATACATATAGGTGTGCTGGTAAATCCAACAGTTTTGAAGCCAACATAAAAAAGGAAGAAAAAGCCCCCCCCCCCTTGGCTGCATTTTCTTGCATGTCTGCAATAATATCAAGAGTAGATAAACAAGAGTGTGCAACTCCGGATCTCTCCTGCACAATCTGCAGATACCCCGCGCCCACGGCGGAATTTTTTGTTTACGTCACCTTTTTTCAGAGAAACGCGGCTTTGCCGCAGAGCAGTGTGAGAGCACGTGCTGGGCACCGACCTTGTAGTGTAAAGCCCAGCCAAGTGCACGAGGGAAAACTCTCCAAAAGGCTCGCAGCGCGTGCGTCGTCGAAAAGATTACGTCAACAAAAAATTCCGCCTTGGGCCAATCCATCCGGAGTTGCACACTCTTGTTTATCTACTCTTGATAATATCCATCACCAGTGCACCATAGGTTCTGGTACTTCTGCATGACAGGTACATGTACTTGACTGACAGGTACTTGAAATAGCTGTCAAAAGCCCAGAAAGTCGTTATTCAAGCAGTGAATATGACCACGGGGCACTAAAAGCATGTCGCTATACGCGAATTGTCGTTATTCAGATAGTCGTTATATCCGAAGTTAAATGTATACAGTTAGATGGGACTTTGCTCTGGGCATGGAAATTCGGTCGTTATTCGCGAATTGTCGTTATATCCGCAGTCGTTATTAGCGAAGTTGACTGTACGGGTTTTTAATCCTCATGCACGCTCAAATCGATCTGCACCACACACCACTGTCTATCGGCGCCATGAAAAAGAAAAGCGACGATGTTATGAAGAGAGAGTGAGAGAGGTGGAGCATGCGACGTTCATGCCTGTTGTGCTGTCGGCAAGTGGTGGCATGGGAAGAGGGGCGACATCACTCTATCGCCGAATCGCATTATTGAGAGCGGAAAGGAGGAAGGAGCAGTACTCCCACGTAATATCTTACATCAGATGCCGTCTCTCATTTGCCCTGTTGCGATCATGCATCATGTGTTTGCGGGGTTCACGGGGTCTTTTCCGTGAGCGATCGGTTCGGCATCCGGAGTCTGCTGAGCTGGTTGTTGCTGAGGCCCAGGTTGCTCGCATGTGAGAATCTATAAATTGCAGCAGATTATTTTTATTATAAATACTGGACATGGATATTGAATTAAACTGTACTCAGTGACTTTTTACATTTTACAGGCTACGTTTTATTGTTATTGTTATTATTATTGTAAAGCTTTCCTTTTGATCTTGTCTCTTATTGTTGTGACCTTTCTAAATCAGCATACATGTACTGTATTACTCGTGCCATGGTTTCACGCAATTGGCTTTGTGAATAAACCTGTTTCCAGGCAAAAAAAAAAAAAAAAAAAAATTAGAACGGGGCAAGCCTAGACCCGGCGTCTGGACCGCAACATGTACTTGATTAAAAGCATAGCCAGTCAATGGTCAAGCAGGTGCAATCACGCACATCCACACCTAGCGTACTACTACTATAAAGCAAATATTAATTCATAACTACAGGTATTGCACTTTCTACTGCAAATGCACAGTCGTGCGCTTCATCTATTGACAGCAGCCAAACCTATCATTCTACAGTCTCAATAGGTAGGTGACCTCGCCGGCACACACCGTATAGTATATTGTACAATAACTGTTCCAACTACGGTCCGGAAGACACAGTGTGTCCACGTTCTACGCACAGTAGCTATCAGCAGTAAGTTACAAGTTACAAGCCCTCACTCTCGGGCTATGACAGAAGTGCGCGAGTTCGATTGGGATTCAAGTAGGAAGGGAGCGTCTCAGCCTCCTCGGACCACGACCATTCGACTCAGCACCCCGAAGACTACAACTGGTGAAATATTACTTTAAAATTAATAGTAAGTACAGGTTCCTGCACGAGTATGAGGGCAGTACCGCGGAATCCAGCCCGCGCCGCGATAGCGGCAAGGGCTGGATGAGCAGCGGTGCTGACCGAGTATGAGTGACTGGAACGTGTTTCCCGTATGCACCCAAGCCAAGGAGATCACTCACAATCTTTGACGTTTGAGTTTACATGAACCATTCTGTGACTTGACTCGAGTCCTGTATGGCTGTATGAGGCTGTGTCAGTGTGAGCTGAATGAGAGTGACTTCGACAACCGGACACGGACTACAGTACACGACTTTTGCATGTACTTTCAGACCACAGAAGCTTGTCATTGAAATGGTAGACTCATGAGTGGATTCTGTCCACTGCCCGTCGTCAAGTGACGACGGGCAGTGGATTCTGTCCACTGCCCGTCGTCAAGTGACGACGGGCAGTGGATTCCGTCCACTGCCCGTCGTCACTTGACGACGGGCAGTGGAACTAGTTCCATCACCATTCATCGGGCAGGATCGCGCTTTCCAGCCCGCGTAATTTGATCTGTCATTGGTCGACTCCAAGGCGACAGTCATGTGACATACGGGAAACCAGATTAGCACAGTACTGACTCTTCAGTTTGACGTGAATCACGTGATACACGTGACCAGGACACTGCAGATCCGCGAGCACTGGACCTGACACCGTGTACACGTCCATGTATATGTATATTGGGATCGGACATTCAAGTACAAGTACAATCATGATGTGCTTGTCCATACTGTTGCGTATTTCATTAGCACCATGTTATGCCAATTTAGCACCATTGGTATACCAATTTAGCACCATTAGTATGCCAATTTAGCACCATTAGTATGCCAATTTCGCACTATCATTATGTCAGTTTGAACGACCCTGCCACATTGCAGGTCTTTGCTATGCGAACACCAGTAGACAGAGTGTTTTCTACACCACTGCATACACAATCCGCCGTTACACTATACACAATAATTATAACATTTAAACCACCTGCATTCACGCTTTGCCGTCCACTCTATAGAGTGGTTGTTACACGCCATTGCCTCACCACGTCATTAGGTGCCCGCAAGTCTCAACTCTTACTTTAAGAATGCTTTTCTTCTTCTTTCCATTTTTTGCGTTTCCTGTAGTTCTGGGTATACCAGAAATTCTTGCAGTGATCTGTCTTTTGTGATTGGTGTAACCAATATCGGGACGCGGCAGGGAGAAGGGCTCAGCCCGATACTGTTCGTTTGTTACCTGGAGGCTGCCCTGCGGGAGTGTCGGGACCGCTTCCCTCCAAGGCCAGACCATGATAACAATCATGGTCCCACCAGAGACAGGTTATGCTGATGATGTTAACTTCCTGTCCCGTAAACTCTCTTGGCTCAAGGAAGGTTTGTCCACGATAAGCGCCACACTCGGGGTCTGGGGTCTGAAACTGAACGAGACTTAAGACAGAATGGGTCCACAACTTGGGTCCTACTTGGGCGAGGGTGATTATAATTGCTCGCAGCATGAAAAAAGCCTCGCAGGTCTTTGGCAGGATGTTCTCCCTGTAAGGTATGAGAAAAGGGGACTCGCGGAGGGCAACCTGGAAAGAGATTCTCCAGTTCCTTCTTTCCTGCTGTCATACCTTGATATTTAGCTACGCTTTTCCCTATTTCCAACGTCCGTTTCTTTCACCATGCTTGATCGCTTCGCCTCTTACACCCCTCCCCCGGGTATGGTACCCCCCGGTATGGTTTCTCACTATTATTACTAGACTACCATGGTGAGATGGTGAGCACCCATTTGCCTTTAAAATCATGCCAAACAACAACCTTTACAAAAACAAAGACGACGACGATGACGACAACAACAACAACAACAACAACAACAACAACAACAACAACAACAACAACAACAACAACAACAACAACAACAACAACAACAACAACAACAACAACAACAACAACAACAACAACAGCAACACATCTCTTATTGGCGATGGTGCCATCGTGAGAATAAAGAATTCAACACCACGCCAGTCGTACTAGCAGAAAGTGATTGCCGTGAGCTATTTTTAGTACAATAGCAGGCAGTGATACGCATTAGTCCTGTTGCAATCAGCATTAATTTGTTCGGGTGAATTGTAATGGCTAGCAGCCGCAGAGAGATCAGGCAACTTGTTGACCGCCAGTAAGTAGTTCCTGGAGTAGTGCCTAAGTATCAGTGCATCATTTGGGCATCATCCAGCCACAGCATAGACGTTATGGTGAAAACAGAGACATTTAAAAGTAATTGAAGATTTGCACAAATTTTTATAATAATTGAGACGAACCCAGTAAACAGACAACATTCGACAGGTGACATGAGCAGATAGTGATCAGAAAATATTGCTAGCATTGTAGAATGATAATGGGATTGTCAGCTGTAGTGCATAATCAGCACCATCATCATCATCATCATCATCCTCAGCAGCAGCAGCAGTTGCAGTAGTGGTAGTAGTAATAGTGTAACGAATCCCACCGCTGGCACCATTTCTGTAGCGTATCCCACCGCTGGCACCAATTCTGTTGCGGGCCGCAGTCTCTCTCGGAGGCAAATGCAGACGGGTCTCAGTGAACACACTGTTAATAATAATTCTTACTGAACTAAACGGAAGACTACATTGTAAACATTAACTCTGACTCTAACTCTAAACTGACATGAAGAAGGTTCTAACTGGTATCTCTAACTGGCCTTTCTAACTGGCCTTTCTGACTGTAGTTTCTAACTGAACTGTAGAGAATTGTGAACAGCAGCTTTTATAGGGTGAGGAACTGTTAGTGTAAGTAAGCCAGCCTATGACCAGGGGATACGTAGAGTAGAAGAAGAAAGGTCACAGTAAGATGTGTGGGCCACAGTCATTGCACAAGGAATGCTATTTGGTTCTATGCAGAAGAAGGAGCTGAATGCGATGTGGGCAATGGGCGTAAAAGAGGCGGTTGAAAGTGCAGCAGTATTTCTAAGGTCAATATGAAACATTGAACGCAGTGAGACTAGTTGCTATCCATGTCATGGATCTGCAAGCACGGTACAGAGTTGCAAGTGCGGGGTACGGGTGCGGTGTAACACGCGTGACCAATACATTGAAAGTGATTCACGCTGCAGCTGTGTGAGTTACTAGCGTGCCAACGCTACACCTTCCTTCTTTAAGAATCACGTCCTCGTGATTAGAGTCCGAGTAGCAGAACACGAAGTGACGAACACTGGTAGAAGATCATGGAGATGCGCAGACTAGACTGGGCGAGTAAGATTAGTTGATATAGCCGGACTCCGACAATCGACTGAGATTAGAAGACACTGGAGGCATGCATGGTCGCGTCGGAATAACCTCGACGGAAGAAGACAGGCAGAATGGATTACTTGCATATACAGGTATGTATTTGTGAACAGCCTCGGTTGATATCCGGACGCAATGAGGACAACTGACATTGAAGTACTGGCTGGAGCGCAGCAGCAGATCACAGGACTGAGAGGTGGTGCGAACATAAACATTGAACATTATAGGAGATAGCGCATCATACTGGTACAGCGTCAACCGGAATATGGCAAAATAATATCGGAAATGATAACCTTTGAGAGTAGACAGAAGAAATGAACTGATAACAAAATCATAAAATAGCATCACTCCAGGTTCACACGATCTCACGGGGCCAAAGGGGAAAAAATTGTCCTCCAAATAGGACTCACAGCGCACTTGCTGTACCACCATGGCGTTTGAGCCATAAAAATAGTTCACAGTTCCAAACTGAACTGGACAAAGGGCACTCTAACACACATTATCCCAGGTTAGCTAGATAGACCGTGGCTCACCATGATCGGACGCCTACCTAACTAAACTGGATTCACACACTCGCATAAAGGAAGACTGAAGAGAACAGGAAGACTGAAGGAAGACAGGAAAGAAAATGCCATATCGGGAATTAGCTCACGTTGGACATGGAGCTTGATCGGTAGAGACGCTGTCCGTCATCATTTTGGGCTAGGGGGAGACGTGGCGGGCGAAGGAGTAGCGGCGACTGACGCATCCGGTTGGGCCATGCTGGTACCGGTTACACCAATAAAACAATTTACCACTGCCATCAATTCTGTAGCGCCGCTGCCATCAATGCAATACAGATACTAGGTGGGTTCGAATCTAGCAATTATAAAAATTGTACCACCGCTGCCACCATTTCTGTAGCGAATCCCACCGCTGGCACCATTTCTGTAGCGTATCCCACCGCTGGCACCAATTCTGTTGCGGGCCGCAGTCTCTCTCGGAGGCAAATGCAGACGGGTCTCAGTGAACACACTGTTAATAATAATTCTTACTGAACTAAACGGAAGACTACATTGTAAACATTAACTCTGACTCTAACTCTAAACTGACATGAAGAAGGTTCTAACTGGTATCTCTAACTGGCCTTTCTAACTGGCCTTTCTGACTGTAGTTTCTAACTGAACTGTAGAGAATTGTGAACAGCAGCTTTTATAGGGTGAGGAACTGTTAGTGTAAGTAAGCCAGCCTATGACCAGGGGATACGTAGAGTAGAAGAAGAAAGGTCACAGTAAGATGTGTGGGCCACAGTCATTGCACAAGGAATGCTATTTGGTTCTATGCAGAAGAAGGAGCTGAATGCGATGTGGGCAATGGGCGTAAAAGAGGCGGTTGAAAGTGCAGCAGTATTTCTAAGGTCAATATGAAACATTGAACGCAGTGAGACTAGTTGCTATCCATGTCATGGATCTGCAAGCACGGTACAGAGTTGCAAGTGCGGGGTACGGGTGCGGTGTAACACGCGTGACCAATACATTGAAAGTGATTCACGCTGCAGCTGTGTGAGTTACTAGCGTGCCAACGCTACAATAGCAGCAGCAACGGGAAGCATCCCAAAACAGAACCCACTGCGCATTATAGTGTGCCGCGTCGAGATTGCTCCTCTTCAATCGCTTGGAAGAGCGATTTGAAATTTCCAGCTCCGAATCCCTGTAAGAAAGGGTTGAAAATGGAGAACAATCAACATAATTTATGTCACATGACTGTTGCCTTGGAGTCGACTAATGACAGGTCAAGTTGCATGCACAGGCTGGAAAGCGTGTTCCTGCCTGCTGAATGGTGATGGAACTGGTTCCACTGCCTCAAATATCCTGCACTGTTCCAAGTAGAACTCGGGTTCTAATCAACGCGGTGATGATCTAGGGATTCCTGGAATGCTCTTTGCACACTGGAGCAGGATAAACGTCAGCTCAACACCATTGAAATCACATACCCGGTGCCATGGTGCTTCAAATAGTCCCAATGATATGCAAGCAAATTCTCAGTTCGCTGGCCATTTCATTCTCCTTCAAAAAGAAACGGTTCAATTTTGTCGCTTTGGCTTCTTATGCTGCTCAGGCACTCAGAGCTTGCCTGGAAGATTCTGCACAGTGGGAAAGGGGAAACCCTCCACTCAAGGCCCATCAGCAAAGAAAGTTCAACTTTCCTCGCTCTAAAATGTCGAGTGTGATTTTTCTGCGATGCTACGTCGTAGCTCTTCGACACCTGCTGCAACGGAATGCTGAGATCCTTGGTTTCTGCATGGACTCTTTCGATTATAGAATTCCATGAAGATTTGCATTATTTAATTTAATAAAAACACCTCCGTGCAGAGAAAGATATACAGCCGTAATCATAACCTACCGAATGGTTATTCCTCTGGATAAGTTCTAGAAAGACGGTTGGCCTGTCTTGCATTGGAGATGTGAACAACTGGAGCAGGTAACCGTTGTCATCAAAATCCACCAAGATGTTGAGTCGTTCCAACTTGAAAACGGCAGACGGACAAGCACATAACATGTAGTAGGGAACATTATAACACAAGAAAGGAAGAAATTGTGGGAAGGGGGGGAGCAAGGAAGAAAGAAAGAGAGGGCAAGAGAGCGAGAGAGAGAGAGAGAGAGAGAGAGAGAGAGAGAGAGAGAGAGAGAGAGAGAGAGAGAGAGAGAGAGCGAGAGAGAGAGAGAGAGAGAGCGAGAGAGAGAGCGAGCGAGCGAGCGAGAGAGAGAGAGAGAGAGAGAGAGAGAGAGAGAGAGGAGAGAGAGCGAGAGCAAGAGAGCGAGAGCGGGAGAGAGCAAGAGGGCGAGAGAAGAGAGAGAGAGCAAGAGAGAGAGAGCAAGAGAGAGAGAGCGAGAGAGAGAGAGAGATAGAGAAAGAGAGAGAGAGGGAGAGAGAGCGGGAGAGAGAGCGTGGGAGAGAGCAAGAGAGCGAGAGAGAGAGAGAGAGAGAGAGAGAGAGAGCGAGAGAGAGAGAGAGAGAGAGAGAGAGAGAGAGCGAGAGAGAGAGAGAGAGAGAGAGAGAGAGAGAGAGAGAGAGAGAGAGAGAGAGAGAGAGAGGAGAGGAGAGGAGGGGGAGCAGCAGTACAAGTAGCCGTACCCACACCAACATACCTTTGCAAACCTGAGATCGGGACAATGACATACCTAGGTGTGAAAATGTATACAAATCTAGCTGAGGCATGCGACAAATGCACTTTTGGGATGTCTAGTACCACCCTGTGATATCAGGACAGTCCTGGCCAAATCGGGACAGTTAGTAGGTAGAATTACCTCATCTAAGTTTTCGGTGATCTTGACCTTGGAGTTCTTGAGTCTCTCACGCAGACTGGCATAGTAACTGGCAGGGATAGGTAGAAAGGACGTGCCACGTTCCACCAGCCGACTCACCTGTTTGCACACACATACGCGCGCACGCACACACACACACACGCACACGCACATGCACACACACACACACACACACACACACACGCTCACACACGCACGCACGCACGCACACCCACCCACACACACAGATACCACCAATTCATTTACAAATTGCATGCGCGTGTGCAAACAATGGGTAATGTGATGCAGACAGGCACATCACAGTTCTCCTTTGTTCTTGTTTTCTGAGCACAATGAGAGGTGCTCAGAAGCTGTAATATGATGCACTGTGCACGCCGTTCATATCACTTGAGTGCACTCACTGATTCTATGATGTTGGGTGTCTTGAGTGCGATGTGCTGACAACCTGCACCACCGTAGAATGTGACATACTCCTGAAAACAACAGACGTGCAGAGACACAGACAGACAGACGAACGAACAGAAAACCACAAACATGCATACACACAGACACACAGACAGACACAGACAGACACAGACAGACACACACACACACACATACAAACACACACACACACAACAGGGTTTGCGATGTACTCCCGTCACGAGAGATGCATGCATGCATGCATGCATCTCTCGTGAAGTACCTTGGCTGCAACCCCAGTACATGTAGTTTTCTCTTGGTATCGTATTTGTAATATTAATTAGAGGGGCAACCGGACACAGGCAAATGGCGTAATGACAATCGCACCACTGGGAAAGCCATGCACTCAGGGAAGAGCTCTCTAATACAGACACCGGAACATTCTGTTGAAAGCGTTCATTAGACTTTGTAGTGTAAATTGTAGTTCCTTGGCCCTTCTTCTTTTCTATAAATTTATCCTTGGCTCTCCATCCGTGTCCATTCAGTTGAAACTTCTGGTTTCATGGCAAGGGATCATCAGGCAATGCACATGCACACACAGATACATTAAAAGACACAACCCCCCCCCCCCCCATCCCTCCCTGCTACAACCACAAGTTGCAGTTGGGTAGTCAGGTTCCTCCTCTTGTCTACCAGTGGCCGATCTCTTACAGGCATGCGTGTAACGAACCTCGAGCGACACGTCCGCTAGTCTATGTGTGTTGTGCAGACAAGCAGGTAGTGTCAGGCTTCCAATAGCCCTAGGTTTCATTGCAAGAAGTGTGACGAGTGGTTTCAGCAAGGCATCAGCCGCCAAGCTGCAAGGCAAACATATAGTAGTCCCTCTGTCGTACGTGCATGATCAATATGTACGAGACATTTTCTTAGTCGAGTGTATTTCAATATGGAGCTCTGCACTCATATCCTACCAATTGTCAAATGTCTGCACATGTACAAAAATCACAAAAATCATACATTGGAAAAAATGGTTCAGGTGGTTCATCCTGAACAAAAAGTGGATTCTTGGTGATGTTTCCTAACATGCTATTTCGTGCTCAAAACTATAGGTAGAAATTCTCGGGGAGTTACAGCCGTTACCTACCTCGGTATACTAATCGATGAGCATCTAACGTTCCGCCCACAAGTAGAAAAGGTGTGTTCAGTGGTCTTCGCTAAACTAGCCTGTTTTGCTCATGGCCGTCGCAATTTATCAGCTACAGCTCGGAGAACTTTCTTCTTGTCAATTATACAGTCTACTCTAGAATATGCAAGTAATGCGTATGTGCACTGTTTGAAAACTACCCTATATAACAGGCTTGTGACGGTCAGCCATATTGCGATGAAGAAGGCATTTGGTTTAGATAGAATGACCCCAACTGCATTAGTTTTACAACGGTGTCATCTGTATTCGTTTGAGCAACGAGTTAATTTGAAACTATACGTTTTGGTCTATCGCTGCTTGTCATCAATTACTAGCCCCCTCCTTCAGTCACTGTTTCTCCTGCGTTCCGTTGGCCCGCACACAAATGCTCGTACTCGTGGCCAGGATACAGCTGCCTTAGTATTACCTACTGTACATATTGGGTATGGACTGCGCTCAGTTTCTTTTCTGGCGGCAGGTCGGTGGAACACTCTTCCTCCAAACTGTCGTCAGGTACAATCTGCTGGTACTTTTGCTCACCTCACAAAGATTCACCTAGGGTTCCCTGTAACAAGGCCATGCCTGTTGGGACTCCCCTAGTCAAATAATAAATACTACTACTACTACTACTACTTACCTCGATTTGGCTCTTCTTACGGCCGACCGCTGGTTCGGTGATTCCAAGCTTGATCGTCTCGGCTTCATTTGTCAGCACGACAGTGTGCATTGACGTGAACTCAGTGTGGGTCTGCAAGACACATAGGAATACAGACACAGTACATAAACTATTTAATTCCCGTAGCTATGCAGAAGACGTTACTTCAGTAACGTCTGGCGTTAGCCAGGGTCCACACAGCTTTAATTTGGTATTTGTGTGTTTGTTTGTTTGTTTGTGTCACGCCTGGCGCTATCCCGTATCTGTCCCGTACCGTACCGTACCATCAAACACAGCTGGCCACATACAGCTGGCCGCAATATTCAAATAGGGCTTTCAAACGCAAGATCATAACGTGAAGCAACTTGGAAGAATGGGTATGAATGCGAAGTGTAGGGCGATAGTGCGGGTTCGAATCCCAGGATATGCCTGAAAAAAAATTTGAAGTAGGAGAATTGAAAAATTTATAACATCCCTATGCTTTTTTTGCCGTCATCAAGGCGGTAGACGGTGTCGTATTACCCTCGATCGTACCTGTCCCGTACCTATGCCGTACCGTACCATACCATCAAAGACGGCTGGCCACAATGCATATTCAAATAGGGCTTCCAAATGCAAGATCATAACGTGAAGCAACTTGGAAGAATTAGTATGTATGCGAAGTGTATCGGGGATGCATGCAGGGCGCGCGATAGTG